CAACAATTTTCAATGCAGAAAAAGTTTGCGGTCACTTCTTAATATTTACATTTACCGTTAATTTAAAGCATAAACGTATCATTAAATGATATATAATTATCAGTTGACATCTTAAAGAGTCTAAGATTTAATCATTCAAAAAATATTTTTTTACATAAACAGTAAATTTTTACAATAAAATATGAAAAACGTGAAATTGGAGTTAGTGAGCGACAAATAACTGTTAAATTTTGGATAGATGAAGTAAGACAACGAAAAATTGCTGAAGATATTGGTCGTCAATATTCATCTGTGCAAAAAGTTATAAATAACTTCAAGGAGACGGGTTATTATGTTTCTAAACCTCGTACTGGTCACCCTTTGATTCTGTCAGTTAGAGAAAGAAGCAGCATCATCAACCAGGTGAAACTAAATCCAAGAGTAACAGCTCCCAAACTGGCTGAACATATTGCCGAAATACTTGAAAACAAAATATGTCCTGATACCGTGCGGAAAATTTTGAAAAAAAGCATGCATTATACCCTGGTTGCAGGAAAGAAACGATACATATTCAGACATAATGGAATAAAATGATGAAGGTTTGCAAGAAAACATGTAAATAAAGCTATCCAGTTCTGAAATTGAGTTATTTTCTCCCATCAGAGTTAAAAAACAAATCAGAGAGAGCTAAAAACAAATTTAAAAGAAAATGCCAGAATTTTAGGGCTTGAGGCAACCTTTTTGTGTCAGCAGCACAACGATTCTAAGCATACAGCAGCGATTGTACGGATTTGACTGCTGAACCATTCTCTGAGGCAAATTCAAACACTACCAGAATCATCAGACCTTAGTCCCATAGAACATCTGCAGGTTTATTTGGAAGATAACATTCGCCAGCACACGATTTCCAGCAAGGATATGTTAAGAAACGTCATCAAGGAAGAATGGCTAAAAATAAATGCACAGGATACTGCAAAGCTGGTTGAATTCATGCAAAAACGTCTAAAAGAGGTTATTAAACGCAGAGGTTATCCCACAGGCTATTAAATTGTAGGTTTCTGTGAATTTTAATTGTTTTAATTGAAATATGAAGAAGTGTTTAATTTTTTTTTTTCAAGAATAACTGTTAATTGTTTATATTTAAACTTTATTGTTGTTTTTTTGGTTAAAATAAATCAGAAAACAAAAATCAATTTGAGTAAAAATTAAAAAAATTATGCGAAATTTAAGAAAAATTATGTGGGTGACCGCAGACTTTTTCTGCTATGTGTATATGTGTTGTTCAAATTTGAACATGTATCTGCGCGCCAGTCACCTAAAAATTATATTAAGTTATTTGGGTATTTAATACTTTAGTATTTTTTTTAGAAATTAAATTATTTTTCAAGGCCTCAAAAAATTTCGTTACCAAGGTGCTTTTAGACATTAAAATATAAAATATAATAACAGGGATTTATTTTTAAAACAATAAGAATAGTTAAAAATATAAAATATAATAACAGTGATTTATTTAAAACAAAAAGATCAGTTATAAATGTAAAATGTAAACTAAAGGAAAAGGAACTAATTAAATAAGGTAACGAAGAACAAGGGTAAAGGATATGTATATCTAAAAGAAAAACCCATAACTTATCATTAAACTATATAAAATTTAGTATTTAAGAACGAAAATCACAGAAAATAAAGGGAGTCTATTATTGATTGTATAAACGAGAAGACGTGTGTTTTGATTCAAGAGTTTTATATACAGCCATAGTCAAAAGTATTTACACAACGAAAGTTTTTGTACATATTGCATAGAAACATGTTTTCATAAGTGTATATTTTTTTAAGATTTGTGTTCTGTGATCTGTGTTTAACAGAAAAATAAACACGTTTACGAATTAAACGATGTTAAAAATAAATGTTCAATTTTCACAAATTTCAATTATTTAATAATTTTAATAATTTAATGTTAGTTTTTATTTACTTTATTTTCTATAAAGAACATTTTACATAAAGAATACCAAAAAAAATATTAGTTGTTCATCGAAAGAAGTGCTAATGCATTATATAAGAAGCTAAAATATTTTACAAGACAACTAAGCCTTAAACTGACTCTATCAGCTTCTTACAAGTTCCCGTCTCATAAGAAATCAAAACTATATTAAAACCAATAACAATATTCCTCCAATTATAAAATTGTAAAAATACTTATTAATCTTCTATAAAATCTGCTACCAGCAGGTCTTACTACCGCTAAACCATATAGCCGTAAATAAATCAAGTACATTTTTCGCGCTGCACAATTGTATTCTAAACTCAACCAATAAACGTAAAAACAAAAACATGAATTCTAATCAGACTAAAAGAGAATATTTGCAAAAGCAACTAATTTTAAAAATATTCCAAAAATAATACCTGAAGTGAAGTCGAGTAATGTTGTTCTTGTGTAAAGTCTTGTTGTTACAACACTTATATATATATGTATATTTACAGTCGGAGTCATAAATCTACAAGCAAGAAGTACAAAGAACTTTGGTGGAAAATATTTTCCAAAAAAATCATTTTATTGGAAACATAGTTTATTGTGTTTTTATAACATTCAATGCACAATGTTTTTTTGAAGTTTCGTTGCATAAATTTTATAAAATAACGCTACTGCCGAGATAACGCTACTGTTATTGTGAAGAGTAGCAAAAGCAGCGATCAAAAGTCTACAAGCACTAAGTATAAGACGACGTTATTGTGTAATTTGGTGATTTTTTATGCAATTTTGTAAGTAGTTGGGTAACCGCAATGCTTAAGAACTTCCACTAGACGGGTTTTCATCGAAATTACAAGTTTACTGGTCTCCTGAGTTGTTATTTCGCCCCTTTTCTTTAGAATTATATCTTTCAGACGCTGCTTGGTCGAAATTGAATGTTTACGAATTTTTTTTCCAAAACTCCCCATAAACGTTCAATTGGATTTAAATTTTATTGACTGTAGAGGCGTATTTAGCAGTTTTGGGGCGTGAAATAGCTACCAAAGACGCAGAATTTATGCTGTATATTTAGGATCATTGTCCTGTTGAAATTAAAATCTATCTGTAAATCCTAATTTATTAGCGCTTGATCGCATATTACACTTCAAAATGTTTAGATAAATATCCATAATAAAACAAGCGTTTTTGTTTTACGAAAAATGATTTATTTAAATTAAGAATGTTTTACTAGATTTTTATTTAATAAGAGTTATTTCAAGAAGACTTAAAACCACGCGTGCTGTTATGACGAAAGTTGAATCAAGAACAAAGTCAGCATGTAAAAAAAGCTGTATAAAAGGTAACGTTCTCTGATATTTTAAGAGTACCGTTTTTAATGTGGAAGGTTGACGAAAGTCAACATTGGGTTGCAAATCAACAATAAAAAAAGTGAGCAGCACGTTTTAAGTGTAAAATAATAATATTAAATTTTAATTAACAAATAATATAATAATTTCATTATTTCAAATTTTAATTTACGTATTAATGAATATAAGTAAATTAGCCAATTCGATGTGCACTGCCTTCGTTATTATGCACACAAAGATTGCCGCTTAAGCCTTTCGTACTGTTCGTACAGCCTTGGAGCCAATTCGTGTTTTGAATGGACAGCAATGGTCTAAGCCAGATCTTACAAATGGGGGAGATGGGGTGACCCGAGCCTTTGGTAATGTCGTCATACGTTGTTTTAGCATTATGTATTTATGCCGTCTGCAAATCGCGCATGAGTGTATACATTACTTGACCAAAATGCGTGCCTGTAAAATCCAATATTTGTGTCGAATAGTATGCAGCATAAGCTGTATGCACGTGCCATAGTAAAAGCATAGCCAATGTACTATCCTCAGGAAGAGTGACTAGATGACGCTGTGCCTCTGTCACCCTCGCATTATGTAGGCGTCCGTCTACTCGCAATATATTGTCCGCTGATGAACGGGCTCAGTTCAATGAGCTTGCTGGATGTAAATATGGGCTGCGCCTTTTGCAGCTGCGTCAGTTCCGCTGCGAAATATTTTGCTTGATTGACCTATTGCCTGCAATACCTTTACCTTAAGTGGTTTTAACGCACCTTTCTGATTGGATAATCAGCTGAATTAGGGTCATGCAACCATTATATGTAGTTATGCAACGCCAAAGGGGATATTCCACGACTAGTGCAATCAGCTGGGTTGAGTTTGGTAGGAATGTGATGCCAATGCCTTATATCGGTCATCGATGGAATGCAGCCAACGCGATTAGCAACGTACTGCTTTAATTGTGATGTGCTTTTGCGTAGCCAATATAGAGCAATATTTTAGTCGGAGTATAGAGTGCTCCAAATGCAATGCCTGCATTGTTTCGTGTAAAAGGGTTGCCAACAATTGCGGAGCGAAAACTTCCAACCGGGGTATTGTTACCGAATATAATGGTGCCACCTTTGTTTTTAATGCGATGATGTGACTAGTGATATTGCCATCATGGTTTGTTGCCAAATAGAGTATTGCAGCCATCGCCTTGACACTTGCATCACAAAAGTCATGAAGTTATATTTCATTTCCGGGTTGTATGCCTATCCAATGCAGTATACGCACTGCCTCCAGTTACGACAGCCGCCTTCGATGTATGAGTCATTCTTACAATAGTTCAAAAGGTAGTGGATCATCCCATGTCAATTTTGCTTGCCAGAGTCTTTGTATGAAAAGTTTAGCCGTGATGACTGGTGCCAACATACAAATTGGATTATATGATTTCGCAGCATCGCTAAGCACTTGCCTTTTGGTCAGATGTTGTGTATCATAAGAGCTGACCTAATAGAAGAGTTTATCGAGAAGTGGATCCCAATGCAAGCCGAGAACAGTAGTTTCTGCCAAATGTGGGTTAAGCTGACATGGATCAGTATCGTCAAGAATGTGTGTCAAGACTTCAGCGCTATTTGATTTCCATTTTCTGAGATGGAAGTGTCCTTCTGACAACACAGATGAGACATTAGTCGCCAGTTGAATCGCCATGCTAACAGAAGGTATATTCTTAAGGTAGTTTATCTGAGTTTATAAAAATTGTCTCTGCCACATTGCTGCATAGCGCGAACAGCCAAATATGTGCCACTGGTTGTGCCATATGTAACGGTAGCCAATTGATATGTGCGAATGGGCTGATCGGATAATTCCCGCCAGAGGATCTGTTGCCACTGCCTGTGCCTCTCGTCAACCTTGACTTGCCTGAACATTTTCTCCACATCAGCTGTGAATGCTATTCGATGCTGCCTGAAGCGAAGCAAAAGGTTAAGTAATAAATCCTGTATTGGGGGGCCAGCAAGTTGTGTATCATTTAATGATATGCCATTCGATGTTTTTGCGGAAGCATTGAAAACGACTTGGAATTTTGCCATGACTGCAAAATGTGGAATGTAGTATGCCTGAGATGGGTCGCCTGAATGATGCTGAATAGGGTGCATGTGACCAAGTTGTTCGTATTCGCGCATAAAAGCCACATATCTTTGCCTCAGCTCTGAGTTGGATGCCAATTTTCGTTCCAACTGGTGAAATTGCCTGAGTGCCATCTGATGTGAATTCCCAAGTGGTGGAGCATCTGGTGTAAATGGTATTTGTACGCAGTAACTGCTATCATCAAAA